TTTTTTTTTCTGTTGATGATGAAATTATCAACAGAAATTATATAACATGTGTGCATTTCCCTGTTTTCTCTGAAATAAGAAAGATCACAATTGTGGGATGTGTATAGAAGGTAAGCCTATAATATTCTTGAGGACTTGATACTCAGGTTTAGAATATAAAGAAAGTTTAAAGGGTGACTCAAGATCAAGTCAATTACTACCAAAATGAAGGTTAAATTATACTTTGGAGATTTGAGTGTATCCATCTTTTTTTTTATAGGAAAAGATGGAAATTTATTGAGAAACAAGCACAGACTCCCACATGGGGAGGGGGAGAGAGTCTCCCCCAATTTTTTAAATATATTTTATTGATTTTTTACAGAGAGGAAGGTTGAGGAATAGAGAGTTAGAAACATCAATGAGAGAGAAACATCGATCAGCTGCCTTTTGCACATCTCCTACTGGGATATGCCCGCAACCAAGTTACATGCCCTTGACCGGAATTGAACCTGAGACCTTTCAGTCCGCAGTCTGCAGGCCGATGCTCTATCCACTGAGCCAAACCGGTTATGGGAGAGTGTATCCATCTTTTATAGGAGTAGTTTGGGTTTGAATAAGTTGTGCCCAAAGTTTTCACATTCACACATCCTTGCACAGTCCCACTCCAGGTAACCACTGCTAACTTTTGTTCACTTACACGACTAGTATTGTGAACCCCAGTGTCCCTGTTATCTTTACATGTACCAGTAGTTTTAATGGGGTCAAAAGTCTTCTAAAATCACAAACCCTCTAAAAGTCTCAATAACATGAATACGTAAATGCAATATGTCTTCTAAAAGTATGTCTTATGTCTTTAGAAGTGTAATTAAGTAATGGAAAGGCCTTTGCCATTTAACTAGTACCATCCCTCTTCAGATTGAAACAACCTCCTCTTGAAATGGGTGGAGTCTATTCTCAATAAATTCAGGTCTGATTAATGCACTGATACAGCATCCGTGTTGGTGCATTCTCATACTTTCTGCTACCAGGCTTTTGATAAATCACCACAGTGAAGTGACAGTGGCATTCATGACAGTGTTTTGTAAACTATAAATCACCATCTAAAGGTAAATATATCATTGTTGCCATGAAAATATAGATTGGTCTGTGGTTAATAAAAAAGAGAAGACATAAAATTCAAAAAGTGTTGTTTTAGCAACCTCTTTCTTTTTATAAACATGTTGAGGATTTTGATGATTATGACTATGGTTCTATTCTTGGGATTTTTTTCCTGACAAATTAGCTGTGGATTTATGATATGCATGCAATCTTTTTTTTTCCGTCGTGGCCATGGAGCAGCTCTACCAGTCCATTATCTGTAGAAACTTCATCTTAATGATGACTTGTTAATGCCAGGATTCTGGTCACATATTTAAGGTTTTAAAACTTCACCATGCAGAAAAAATATAAGAAATGTGAGGCTGGAAAGGAGACCATCAGGTCCATGTTACTTAATTAATTTGCAAAATCCTACATGCCAAACAAAAGGGGTCCTGTTGTTTCCTAAAAGCTTGGGAAGGGAGTTAGAAACAAAGTTGATATATATGAATTTTATCAACTGTATCCAACTAACAAAGACTGTCACATGATATTCCTTAAGCTATGTTCATGCATAATTCATGAAAACAGCAACTGCTAAAGGTAGATCTGCTTTCTCTAGCTTATGAGCACAGTGTGGTGTGCACAGGAAATTCATTGTTGCTGTACTCTACAACTATTTTTTTCACATAAGCATATTCATTACCTCTGTAGAAATTCTCTCTATTAACTCATCTGTACATCTTTGATCAATTTCACTTTGTAATACTTCTGGGATAAAGTTCCTTGCCATTTGAAAGATTTGTGCTTATCACTGATTTCATGTTGACTAAGTCATTGGTTGTCAGAGACCTGGACTCCCTTTTCTAAACATTAGAAAGTTTAAGATTGCTTTCCCTTTGTAAATTATAGTCTCAATTCTCAATTGAATTCTATCTATCATCTTTTCCCCTGGAGATCACTTCTAGGAGTTCAAAAAATGAAGTATGGCTCTTTAGCTATGGGCTTTAAGTTGGAATGATCCTTAAAGATGGTCTAATCTAAATCATTTTATGTTGAATTAAACATTTAAATATCATCTTCCCCAAGACCTTTCTGGGAATTGTTCTTATATTTCAACCATAATTTTTCTTTCTACTACCCAAGAATTCGTTAAATATTTTACATATTTTTTAGTTACTGTTGAATATATTGAGTAAGGCATGCAATTGAACAACCTTTTTAAGGGTTATTTTCTAACTCTTATGACAATTTTTCTTTATCTTGCCTACAAAGTTTCATGAAAGGCCTTCAAAAACATAGTTGAAGATTTTCTTTTCTTTTAAGAAATTTAGAGGCATCTGAAAGCATTATATAAACTAGAAATTAAAATAATAAAGCAAACAAGCATAAAAATTATTATGTTTCACTTGGAAAGGTACATAGAATAGGATTCTGTATTGATTCCTTAAGACACCAGCTGGTCCTCCACAAACCTATTTCTGCTTCCATGCTCACAAATCTGCTTCCATACTCACAAAAAAAAACACACAATTTTTTATGTTTTTGACCAGTGATGAAACTGAGGACCAGTGAACTTTTTTTACTTATTGTGCAAGAAACAATATAATTTAAAACCAGGTCTAAAATCTACTTCCTTTCCACTGTGCCACAAAAATCACCTAGAACAATATAGATAAGATAAGCAGATATGTCACCTACTTTTGGCACGAAGCTCATAATATTCAATGATATTAAACATAGCAAAAATATTAGCACTTCTTTGGGCTATCTATGCTGATCTTAGTGATGGTGAACTTGGCACGATCTTAGGCTCTAGTAAGAGTTTATCTGGTCAATCACCAGAGTGATGACCACTAAAATGGAATGAACCTGATTGCTAATTATTTAAGAGGAAGAGCTTTACAACTTCCTTATTCAATGATCAAAAACTAAATCATCCATTTTTTTTACTTTAAATATTTTTTTATTGTTTATTCAGTTGGCATATAATATTATATTAGTGTCAGGTGTACTGCCCAGTGATTAGACATTACATAACTTACTAAGTGATTATCCTAATAAATCTAATACCTTTCTGACACCATATAGTTATTATAATAGTAGAGGCCCATTGCATGAAATTCGTGCAAGAGTAGGCCATCCTTCCCCTGGCTGCTGGCACCAGCTTCACTCGGGCACCTGGGACCTGGGCTTCCCTCACAGCCCCGGCTTCGTCCAGAAGGTCATTTGAAAGGACGTCTGGTCTAATTAGCATATGATGCTTTTATTATTATAGATTATTGACTATACTCTCTATTCTGGGCTTTATATCCTTGTGACTGTTCTATAACTACCAATTTGCATTTCTTAATCCCTTCACTTTTTCTCCCATCCACTCAACCCCTTTCCATCTGGCAACTATCAAAATGTTCTCTGTATCTATGAGTTTGTTTCTTTCCTGCTTGTTTGTTTATTTAGTTCTTTAGATTCCATATGAGACTTAAATCATATGGCACTGTCTTCTTCTAAGTTATTTCACTCAGGACAATACCTCCGCGATCCACCCATGTTATTACAGATGCCAAGATTACATTCTTTTTTAGGTCTGTGTCATATATATATATATTCATGTATCACCTCTTCTTTATCTATTCATCTACTGATGGGCACTTAGATCACTTCTATATCTTTGCTATTGTAAATAATGCTGCAATGAGCGTATAGATGTATATGTCTTTCAATTTTGAATACATCCCCACAAGTGGAATTGTTGGGCCTTTCTTTGTCTATTACATAGCATTTGTTTTAAAGTCTATTTTGTCAGCTTTTGTTTTTTCATTTCCATTTTCAAGAAATACCTTTTCTAACCCTTTACTTTCAATATGTGTGTATCTTTTGATCTGAAGTGAGTCTCTTGTAGACAGCATATGTAAGAAAGAGTCTTGTTTTGTTATCCATTTAGCCTCCATATAACACTAAATTATTCTTTAAAAATCTGTTTCATCCTGAATTGGATCTATGTAGTGAAACACATACACATTTTGCATTCTTTCCATGTATTTCTTCTTCAGATTATTCATTCCAGAATTCCATAGAAAAATAGGACATCACAATTGAATTTTAGAACAGAGATTTATTTATTCCATCACATCTTTCAAAAACCCAAAGGAATTCTTTGGATTTAGATTTAGATTCTCTGGAAATGTAAGCATGAGTACAAATTGGACTTAGAATATTTTCTTATTCATATATTTGTAAAAGTCTTGCAATAATGAGTTTTACTTTATAGTAAGTTGGTACTAATATAATTAAATATTAATTTCCTTCTTTGAGTCTATTTATTTTTTAAACATCTCCATTTGTATCCGTTGGATGAAAGCAGATCATAAATATGTATTGGTAATACACATATTTACTTTAATACTTATAAATATTCTATGTACTTGATATTTTGCTATGTTTCTTTTTAGAGTCTAAAAGCATTATTTTAAAATGGAAGATATATTCATTTTCAGAGTACAACTAATTATAATTAGTAACCCTTTTTGGTCATCAAAGCAAACTCAAAGAATTTCACTGAGACTGTAATAAGTTTTTTTCATATTACAGGATAGATAATTTATCTCTTCTTTCATTTTTCATATTGCAAATCTTTATTAATCAAAATACACATACAAATTAAATTTTACCCAAGTTTATTAAAGAGCAGAACTGTTACATTTTTAATTTTCTGCTAAATACCTATACCATAAGTGAGGCTAGTTGTTTTAGAGATTAAAATTGCTGCAGCATTTTTATTCCTATAATCAATGATTTCCTTCTACATGGTTTAAAAATAATAAGTAACATAGTACAAATTGACTATTACAACAATAGTCATTATGGAGTTTGAATTTTAAAAACATTTTATAATAATAATTTATTATTGCATACTATTAATTTGTCTTAATTTATCTTAACAGCTTCCTCTACCAAGACAACATATATCAGCTACAGCGATCATTCGATCTGAAACAGGGAAATGACACAATATGAAGAAATCTGGTATGTGATCTCAAACAACGAACATGACACCACCAAGACTCACTCCTGGAGATCTCTTTGGACTACAGTCAATCAAATCAATAGTCCATCTTGTGAGGAACAAAAAGTAGCCATGAGCCCAAAACATCAACAACAGAGAGTGAAGAAACCCATTTTAGACAATCCAACCAATGAAGTCTCAAGCTAAAGTATTGCTTACTCATGAGCAGTTCAAAATAAATCACAAACGGAAAACTAATGTTAGCTTGTGAAAAAAAAAATGCTGTTGAAAATAAACCATGTCTGATGTTACTCTGTAAGTATTTTTCTGTGATTGTGAGAACTCCTGTTCCTGTGCCACATTGTTCACTTGTATAAGACAATGAATCTGTTTCTTGTAATGGCTGATGGATTGAAGCCCTGGGCTGTGCTAAAAATAAATGCAATGGTTGACGCATGCAATTTTTTATACAAATAATTTATTTCTAATAATAAAGGAATGTTTTGCAAATGTTGAGAGTTGTTTCGTTCCAGTTTTAAAGCCAGGGAAAACTCCAGTTGGCACTTTGGCTGTCACCTACCTAAGCCCAAGGAAATACGGTTTTTTGTGAAGAATGTGTTTTTGTACACTCGTGTGTATATGAGGAAGACTGCCTTTTATTCCTATACGAAAGAGAATTATTTGTGGAAGATTTTGTGGATATATCAAGATTTATGTGGTCTTTTTTCATAATAATTGCTTCTTTTATGAAGAATCAAGCAATAGCTTGAAGGGAATTGCTTCAGGTTTCAAAATTAACAAAAGATGAAATGTGTTATGAAAATCACCATTTTAAAGTAGATCAGAGTGTCACTGAAATTTTCTCTTTTCTAAGTCAGAACTTTTGCTTCATGAAGTATTCCAAGGTATGTATTATTAATATTTTCTCACCTGGGCCCAGTACCCACTGAAATCTGTGAAGTAATGGGCCTTACCCAGTACATTCCTCAAAGCACAGGATTAGCATATTTAATCTCTTGGCGTCACTACAGAAACCACAGTTCAGATAATATGTCAGCGTTTTCTTATTTTCCAAATGAAAACATTCATTGGTTCATAGAGCAGTGTCATTAAAGAGAGAGGGAGCATACTGGGAGCTTGTGTCATGCTAATAAACCATGCTAGGATGGATAAAGGAGCCTGTTAAAGGCTTTCAAATCTGTTCCCATTTTCATAGAGGGCTCCTCTATTCTACACAATCCCAGAAATCCATCAAGTCAATGGGTCTCTACAATCATTTTGTTAGTAAATGTTCTCTCCACTGAGTTAGGTTGGATGGCTCATTGCTCTCCTTATAGATATAAAGAGCTGTAAGTGCCCGGTAGCTTCAACCCAAATATCGACAGTCACTTTATTTAACAGAGAGTTGAAGTAGCATAGTGCAGGCTCCTTCAAAATACAGTAACACTTCCTAGATGCCTACACAGACAGAAATCAGCAGACAAGGCTTTTGGGCCTTCTGTTGAGTTTCTTCTAACAGTATTTGTTGTTTGTAGATAATATTTAATTCAAGGATTTAAGGGCATTATTTTAAAATTTTCAGTAATCCAAATTACTGGTTAATAAACCTTATAATCAGGATCCTAAGCTCACCTGTAGGTGTGCCTTTTTAGATAAGAGCTTAAAAGAAAATAAACATAATTGCACGTTTAGCATATTTAATTGTGCCATTCTACTCAGAACCAATAGCCGTTCCATGAAGTAATTGTAATCGTTCTTTGCATTGGAGATTATTAGTGGCTTTTAAGATTTTTATCTTAATTTTAACTAGTAAGTGTAATGTATACATGTTTGAATTTTACAAGTCTTGCATATTTTTCAGAGAGCAAAATTCAAGTATATTTTCATGTTTTCTTTTACTAATTGACTCTAATCAGGGTAAGGGGAGGTAACAGGGTGATTAAGAGAGTAAAGCTGTCTCCCAGGCCAAAGGTGGGTTGTTTTTTTTCTTTTAAGGTTTTAGGAAAAAAATAAAATATTGAGCATAACTCATGGCATTTCAAAATTGTGCTTCCTATTACAAACTTACCAATGAGTTGTTTTTTCCTAAGTACTTTTATAAGTAGTTGATTCCTGTTTTGTGTTCTTCAAAATCTTATTTTACTTATAATCGAGTTGAATAACAGTTGTGGTGGATTTACATATGCCAATCATCCTTTATAACATTATATCAGTGGGAAACTTTCTCTTTGATGAAACTATAATTCTCCCCAGGCAGTGGGAGGATAAACTCCCTCAGCCTCTTACTGTAGGAGCTGGAGAATTCTGACCTCCACTGTGTTTGCTTTCTCAGGAATTTTGCTCTGGGCTCCAGGGGTGGTCCTATAGGCTGTGACAATGTGGGGAGGCATCCTGTAAGGAGAAGGATTTAGCATGTGCTAGGAGTGGTCCCTAAATCCCATACTTTAAAATGAGCTGCCTGTGTACTATAGATAAGCAAATAAAAATTGCATGGAAAATATAGTATTATATTTTTTAGAATTGACCTTGTGTTTTATTATGGCCAAGAAATGTCACATCTAATCTCAGCATGCCAGAGGAAATGCTAAAAATGTAGCCCAAGGTAATATTCAACAAATGTCACTAGTAGAAGATGAGCGATATATTAGTGTGACCTTGGGCCAAATCTGATCTCAATTTTTAAAAGTTTTTAGCCTATACTAGTTAATATTTAAAGGTGTCCAAAGCAATGATGGTTGATCTGTCACAAACCAATTTTCTTGTTAAGAAAAAAACACTCATAAATTTAAACTTGATGGATGACCCATTGGAACATGAACAGGAACTGAACTGCTACCTTAATTTTTAGTGTTTATAAAAAAATTTACCAAAACAATGTGGCATGTCAGATGAATGGGATTTTACATTTTTTATTTGAATTAAATATCATATTACAGGAACTCTCACTAAGGAAGGGAAGTTTGTGTTATTTATATTTTCTTTCCTTTTACCTCTACTTTCTCTATTATTTACCAATGATGGCATAGAAAAATATTAACAATTTTCTATATTAGTCAACACTGATATTTATTAAGTAGAAAGTGAAAAATAATGGTATTCCTAAGCTCTATTATGCAACCTTACCAACTTTTCTCATTTCATCTAATTTTTTTTAATGCCAGTATTTCCATCCATCTTTTAGAATAAAATAGCTAAAAATAACAGCTTGCATGAAAGGATAATTAAGAAATAATAACAAATTGTAGAATACTCCAATCATATATAATAATCTTCAGATATAATTCATTTTGCTTTTATTATGGTTTCTCTTTGGTGAGGATATGAGTAATAAAGAAAAAAATTGACCCTAACTAGAAGAAATGGTCTCCTGAAGAAGGAATTATATCTATGAATATTCAGAACCTTGCCAACTGTCACTCTTGGAAAGTACCATATTCTAGACATAGTAGCAAAGCTTGTATAATTCTTCTATTTCCTTTTTTTTTATTTTAAAAGTTTTTTGTAGCATAACCTTTAATGATGTTAGTGATTTTGGGTACCATTATTTCATTTAATTTAACTCTTTGCTAGGACAGTCAAAATATTTTTCTCTTATGTTGAACTCAGTGTATTATCAATGTAAAGTTTCATACATTTTTGACTTCTATATCTGCTTTCAGAGTGATAAGTTTAGAAAAAATTTTTTAACTATTAAATACATTTTTTCTAATTGCCTACTGCTTAATTCAGTAGCTTCAGGAAAACTAAATAGGACAAATAACTTGTTACAACATCAAGATAGCCAGCATCGATTGGGACGTATGAACATACAAGAATTGACCATATCATAATTTGGATGTATGGGTGATATGTTTATAGAAAACAGGAAAGACAAATGAGCAGTGAAATATTTCAGTTTTTAAAATAAGCAAAGGAGAGATCATTTACCAATGAAGTTAGTCCCATTAGGGAAGTTCACTAGAATAAAGGATGCTGTTTGAATGCTAGCAAAAAGTATTACATTGTTAAACTATACTTTTAAAGTTAAAAATATTACTCATACAGAGGTAAAATGAACAAGTTAAGGATTTTGTTCAAGTCATTAACTAATGAGGGAACCAGTAAGATGTTAAACTTAGTATATGATTTATACTAAGGATACATATAAAACTAATTTGGTGTCTTATAGTATAATCAATATTATAAAAGGCCTGTGGCCGTAACGCCGTAATGCTGTAATGACCACCAATCTGACGGGGAGCCAGGTGGGTGGCAGCAGTGGCTGGAGCAAAGCAGTCCCAGTTCCGGGTGCCAGAGGGAAGCCGGTGCCAGCAACTGCGGGAAGGAAGGCCTACTCTTGCATGCATATTCATGCATCAGGCCCTAGTCTATATATAAAAGCCTAAGTGACCATTACAACTGAATGACTGGAACAACCAGTTGACCAGTCGCTATGATGCTCACTGACCACCAGGGGGCAGATGCTCAATGCAGTAGCTGCCTCCTGGTGGTCAGTGCACTACCACAGACAACTTCCTGCAGTCCCTCCCTGCAGCCGGCCAACTTCCTGGGGTCCCTCACCCAGATCTGGACTGGGCAAGATAGCCCTGATAGGCCCTGATTGCTTGCCAGGCCTAGGGACCCCACCTGTGCACAAATTCATGCACCAGGCCTCTAGTAAATCATAAACCTCGAGGCTATTCCATTGGACAGATATTATTTGAATCTAGTGGGTACAAATCAACAAATTACTCATTGTACTATAAAGTAGCCATGTTGATAGAAATTCAAATGCAAAACCATACTGAAAGAATGACCATTAATATATTTTTTCTGTTTTCAAGTTTTGAATAATTTTTCTGAGGAGTGATAGCTCATTGTTTTGCTTCCCATAATTTCAAGCATTACATCATCAGTAATTGAATAATAAAGATCACAAATACACCTAAAATCATGTTAAAATAATCCAGTTAGTAATGGGAGGGCTCTGGAATAGGTCTGTGTTTTAATTATTCTTTCCTGTCTTTACTCTAATATATCTCCAGATCAGAGGCTGAATTGAATAAGTGATATGGAGGGTAAGTGTGAATAAATGGGTAGCTAAGAGTTCCCTTTCTGGTAGTTCCACGAATAATCTGTGAAAATGTAACTTCTTCCTCCCCACCCCTACCCCCGGTACTGTCATTCTAGTGGGTATTTTTTTCTCCCTTTTTGTAGATTAACCCAAAAAGAAAAAACCTTTTTAAGAGTATCCCCGAAGATGGCAAACCATAGATAATTTACCCTATCTCCATGAATATCTTCTATTATTTGTCACTGTCTATTAAGTCTGTCCCATCCAAAAAAAAAAAAAAAAAAAAAAGGTTCTCAGATCCTGCCACTGGCATCTCCCAGGCAGAAGAAGCAAGAATGAAATCTCCTTAATCAAAGGGCAGGAGAGGAGAGGGGACAGGTATGATGAATGGAGCTCTGCTTGTCTACAAATATCCTAGAATTTAAGAAACCCATCTGCCCCTCACTTCCCTCTGGCACTGT